CAATATAGCATATGCTTAAAACTGGAGGTAGAAGCAAATAAACGAAAGAAGAGTGGCCATTGCAGCTGCAGTGCAAAAATCCCTCTCAAGGGTTATGGGCCTCCTTCAATGAGCCTACCAAGTAAAATGACGGAAGTAGGCATAGTAAGGAATGGATTTAAGTTTTGAAGTAATGCTGTTCATTGAAGTTCCTAATGTAAGCCGATTTTGCTTCAAGTAATGTATTTTGACGTTTTAAATGTGTGGCTATTTCATTTTCTGATCACAACCTGGCACGTCCTTTTCAACTGCACACACAAATTAAACCCCATTTCTAATTTTCTCTGCCTACAAGCGGAATTGATTTTATTTTAGCTTAAGAAGGAACTTATGTAACCAAGTAAAATGTAATTTTATCGTTCTTCATTTATCGTAATTTAACTGCACAGTTTTTCGTTGATGGCAAAAGCTTGTGAACAAAAAAGGAAACATAAGGCTGAGTAGTTGCTTTCGGTTTTCGCAATTTATTCGCTGCCCAATCCGATATAAAAACAAACTTCGTCTCTGCTATCAATAGCCGTCTGTGTATCCTCTCCTTGCTGGTCATTTGGACTTATATCTTACCTTGCGGTCGCTTCTCGAAACATTGGCGCATTTGGTGCACTTGTTGAACGTCATGCAAAGCGAAGGATAAGGACTATCTAACTCACACGCTAAAAATACTGTTGTCTTAAATTTATGACGTATGGTTGCATTAAACGCCAGGTCAATGGCGAAGAAACGCCCCTTTGTCAAACGCTGAAATAAATTTTGGAAGAAAAGTGCAGAAGAAAGTATTGAGTGAGGTGCCCTACAGAGTCTGTCAGTTTCAGAAGTACAGTAGTTCACAGCAGGTTAATGCCAGTATAAAACACTGTTAACCTCAGTTTACCGCAAAAAGCGTTCGCGGATGTCATCCTACATTACGAGAGCAATCACCCTGTTGCTCACAAACGTAGTGCTGTTACCACCCTAATCAATCGAGCAAGAACGCATTGTTCTAGCCCCGAGCTCTACCAAGCCAAACTCAATTATCTGTTCAAACTTTTTTCAAAAAACGATTACCCCAGAGAGTTTGTGCGTCGATGCCTGAGACGACAGCAGTTAAAACAAAAAAGAAAAGGAACCAGGTTTTCCCGACGGGGCGCTTAATCCAAGAAGTTGGCGAACACTTCCATATATTAAGAATATGTCTGAAGTCGTTGAAAGACAGCCGAGGAAGCATCAAATCCATGTGCCGCACATACCGAGGAATGCTCTGCGAAATCAGCTTGCACACCCTAAGAATAGGATGCGCCATTTGGACAGGAAAGAAACCATTTACAAGATCTCATGTGGCGGCTGCAATGAGGTTTATTGAGGACAGACAGGAAGATCAGCCTCCACACGCATACATGAACATCAACGGGTGGCATAGGGACGACATCACTTGTCCAAAGTTGCCATTTACACATTAGAAACTGGACACCAATTTCCGTTGGACGGAACTTGCATTGTTGGCTCTTGTCCATGCAAGAAAGGCCACGAGTTTTAAGAAGCCATCAACACCGACGGTTGGTTCATCAACAGACACGTCGAATGGGACTCGACGTACACCAACCTTAGGGATGCATTGAAGAGACGGCAGCCTATCCGGGCTGGATGAAGCAAAAACCAGCCACCACCAACCGCACGATTATATGCGCTCGAAAAACAGTTCCCGAACGACTGCGTGCTTAAATGCGGGTGACAATGCTCGATTATTACCCCCAACCCACTATATAAGCTCCTTTTAGCCATCATTGTAGATTAACTGTTTCGTACAAGTCTCATCCGTCTG